CCTGCCACCAGAGCCCGGGCACCGGCAAGCCTCCATCTCACTCACGAGCTGCATGCTCACCTGCCACCAGAGCCCAGGCTCCGGCAGGCCTCCATCTCACTCACGAGCTGCATGCTCACCTGACACCAGAGCCCGGGCATCGGCAGGGGCCACCCCCACTACACAGCTGCTGCCAGAGCCCAGGCATCAGCAGGCCTCTGTCACAAGCACGAACTGCATGTTCACCTGCCACCACAGCCCGGGCACCGGCAGGCCTCCCTCACATGCACAAGCTGCCTGCTCGCATCAGCAGGCCTCTGTCACAAGCACGAACTGCATGTTCACCTGCCACCACAGCCCGGGCACCGGCAGGCCTCCATCACATGCACAAGCTGCGTGCTCTCCTACCGCCAGAGCCCGGGCACCAGCAGGCCTCTATTATGGGTCAAAGCAACAGGAACTGAAGTCACTGCTGCAGCAAGGGCTGATCACGTGCTGAACACTAATGTGGGAACCACCATAGTACCAAGTATTTTAAAGTAGACCCTCTGGGGCCAGCAGGTGGCATGGTGGTTAAAGTGCTGGACTCCCACATGGCCAATCACGGTTCCAGTCTTGGACCCAGCAGCTTGAAAATCACACTGGCGCATGTGCGTGCATACCCAAATTCCCAAGAGGAGAGGAGAGGAGACTGCAGCATGATCATCAATCCTGGGGGGTGATTTCTCACTTTTCCTCTCATTGCCTCTCTCTGGCAAGAACAAACACCTTAACAAAAATATATATTATCTGGAGGAATCCTCTTGCTTTTTATGAGATTAACGCTAACCTTATGCTTTTCATAAGAAAATTAAATCTCAGCAAAGGCAAAAATAATCTGAGAAAGATCCCGTAACTGGTAAATATGAGCCAAAGTTGTCTGTTTGGCTTCAAAGTTCCCCAGCTCTGAACAGTGAGGGGACCTCCCAAACCCAACTAGCTGAGCATAAGGATCTCTGGGAGAGGTCTGAAGAAAAAAAAAACGGACTCCCAATCCTCACCCAGAACCCAGACCTAGAGTCAGGATCTCTATTGGGCAGCCTTTGCGTCTGCTCTTTTTAAAGCAGCCTCTGACTCATGATCATCTTGGTTTGCAATGACTGGCCAATCGCAATGGAAGCTGGATGTAATTGATTGAAAGTTAGGAAAGAGTCAGGTTAAAATTGTGGTGGGAACTGGGACATCATGAAGGATAATGACTTAAGGACAATGGCCCTCCCAAATTTCAACATGCATTTTGACTCATAGCTGAGTCATGTGCACAATGCGTACACTAAGGGATGACTTGCCCAAATGACCAATGTAATGTTTAAGAAACTTAAAAAAAATAGAAAAAAGTGGTGCTGAGGCTGCCACCCCCTGGAACAGCTCCTTTAGCAATGCTGTGCATGGGAAGCTCACTGAGGACAGGGGTCTTTTTGTTCCAGTCACTTGAGTATGTACTGAGCAGCTGTCAATTCCTAGCACATAGTAGGTGTTCCCATGTGTTTATTGAATCAATGCATCCCCCTTTCCTCCAGGAAGAATACAGCCTTTCGTTTCTGCTTTCCCTAAAATCGGCATGCATAGATGTTAGGAATACAACATCTGCAGAGTACACCTGTCACAGGTGATAAGCTGCTTCAGTCCAGGCCCCAGATCGTTCTCTACATGTACTGGCCATGCTCAGGACAGTGCTGGGGTGATCAGCAGTTAGTGTGGTGGCTATGTCGCTGAGCTCCCACAGAGCCGACCGCAGTTTGAGTCCCGGACCCCGTGGCTTAAACTCACACTGGGCAAAGTGTGTGTGAGTGCCCAAGATCCCAGGAGGAGAATGGAGGAGAAGGGATTGCAGCATGGTCATCCTCCCTGGGGGGCTGATTTCTCATTTTCTGTCTCTCTGTTTCTCTATGTCTTTCTGGCGAGCACACGTACCCTATAGCGAAAACCTCTAAAAAAAAAAAAAAAAGAAAGAAAAAAAATGGACAGTGCTGTGAACACAAAAGGCACGTAGGAAATGCATTCTAAATGCGTAAGTAATTTGTTAACATAAAACCTGCTTTTTATCCTTCAAAACTGGGATGGCTCTGTTGCTGACACACATTTGCAAACTCCAAATATGATCACATGTTCCAGAAGAGTAGAGAAAGAGATGCAAGTTGAATACAAAGGGAAAGGGGTGTCCAGATTGTGCACCCTTGAGCAGAACTCACATACAGTGTCATCCTTAGATCAGACGCCAAGAGCTCAAAGACTAGGCAAATGAGGAAACGTCTCCCCAGAACTAGACTCAATACATCAGCAGTTGTCATTTTCAACGGGTGCCTTTTGCCATGAAGGACAGCTGTTTTACCAGGCCAGGATTTTTTTTTTTCCCACTTTCAAGGTCCTTATGCAGTCTCCTATCTGGCACTGAGTCCAGAGTCTGGCAAGCTGAGCTTCTCAAAGTGGATTAGGTGAGCCCCTCGGAGGGAGCGTGCCCTGGCTGCACTCCCGTCTCACATCTGAAAGCCGGCGTGTTCTCTGAGGTCAGCCACCTCTTCAGGCCCTCCTGAGATCTGAGTCACGCTGCCCGACCTTAGCCCTGTGCACTTCCACATCCTGCCTTGCCCGCGTCGGCCACCACCGTGAGTTGCATGTCATCTCGCCCTGAGGAGATTCCAGAAGGAGGGACACCCATTAACCTGTGGCCAAGGTCCAGAATCAGAACTTGAGTTGTACTGTCACAAAAAGCCATAAATGAATGAATGCCCGGATGAGTGAATGTATGACTCTCTCCTTTTGCTTTAGAAAGAAGTAAAATCATCTACATTTGTAATTGACATGATTTTATATGTGGGAACCACACAATCTCTTCAAACACTTGAGTAATTTTATAAATTTACATCTCTTTCCCCTCTGTTAGTTTCTGAAACTGCTTTAACGTATGACCATCCCATGTCAATGCTCAGTTATATGAAAGGCTACTTAAGTCTTTCCCAGGGAAGCAGTGAGCTCATCACACAACCCAGATGAGGTAACTGCTCAGTGGGCCTCTCGTCCAGTCTTAATTTCTGTTTGAAGTCCGTAGGTTTTCTCTCCTCTGGCAAGGAGGCTGGGTGCAATTACTGCTTACGTGGAGAGCAGAGGCATAGTGGCGTGCATGGGAAAGCTCATTTCAAAACCTGTCTTCTGTTCTCTTACACTGAACTTGGGATGGTCTGAACTGTAACTGGGGGAGGTGGACAGTAGTTACGTATTTTTAATTACTAGATTTGCATGTCTCACTAGAATGTGGAAGGGAGGGAGAAAGTGGTGGCCCAGGGGCTTGTGGCTTTGTGAATTGTGCCTCTTCTTTTTTAATATTTATTTATATATTTATTTTCAGTTTTTGCCTTAGGGCATGTATGCTTGCTGGAGAGACAGACAGGGACAGAGACAGGGAAAGTGAGAAACCATCCCCTGGGGGGAAGGAATGGCCAGGAGGCAATGCCTTCTCTTCCATTCTCCTTTTGAGATTTTGGGCACCTATGCATACATCCACAAGAGATCCTCAAGCCACCAGGTCCGGGACTTGAACCACACTTGGCCAACACCTGCTCCCAAACTGTATTTATGCATGTGAAACAGAAAGAGGCCCTGGACAGGTCTAGCATACTTCTGACCTGCCCCGGGGCTTCTGGTCAGCCAGGGTCACAGCTTGTTTCCCAAGTTCGGATCCACTGGGATCCACATGGGCCATCCCCCATGGCTCCAGTACCAGGAGCGTCCCTATCACAGGTGCCATCACTGTTCCATATTACCCTTTCTCTGGATCTTTCTCTCCATGCTCACTAAAACATGTGTGTATACATGCATGCAGATACCTGTGTCTATTTTCACCTACATACAGCACATGTGTAGCTTTCAAGGATGTCCACAGACATGCAGAACCCAGGCACAACACTGTAGGTAGAGACGGAGGTTTATAGATGTCAGATAGCAAAATGATTAGCCGCTGGAGTTCCACATAGTCACCCCGGGTTGGAGTCCTGGACTGGCCACTTAACACCCACACTGAGTCGGTATGCGTATGTGCCCAAAATCCCTAGAGGACAATGGAGGAGAAGGAATTGCAGTGTGGTCACCCCCAAGTGATTTCTCGCTTTCTGTCTAAGTCCCTCTAAAATAAGCGTGCATATTCTGCATAGCTCCTGCGCATGCTATTTCAGGGAGCAAGCCACCTGGCCGGCTAGGCAAGGAAAGCCACCTCTTCCAGCCGACCTGACTTCATTGTTTGGGGTGACGCTGATCTTTCATTGTGACCCCATTTTTAAGTGGAAAGGGAATGAATGGGAAAGGTCCTTAAACGCTCCTGGAACGTCTTTCTCAGGTCGTCCATCACCAGGACACCCAAACCAGCCTCCTCCGCCAGGCTGTCTGGGGGCAGGCGGAGAGGACCCCGCGGCTCTCAGTAGGACATGAAGACCTTTCCAGCTCAGGTCTGGGAAGACAGAACACAGGAGCTCTCCCTCTCACGGGGCCTGCAGCTGCTCCGCCTGAAAACACGGTTCTCTGGGACCCTTCCTGGCTAGTCTCCCCACTCCCTGCTTCCAGACAGAGTCCTGAGAAGTCCCATAGGGAAACCGGCCCTAACGGCTTCTTCTCCTGGAGGAGGGCATGGGCGTGGCAGCGACTGGCCAGGGACAGGAATACCGCGGCGGGCTGCGCTGGCCGGGAGCCAGAGCCCAGAGCCCAGTCTCGGGCCCTCTTGGGGCCCCGCTCTCTGCGCACCCCAACACCCACCCTCCTCGCAGGGCACCGTCCCCAGCACACGCCCCAACACCGCTTTCCTCTGACGTCCGCCGCGGAGCTCTGACGATCGCCCCCGCCGGCCGCCCTTATAAAGGGG